CTTGAGTCCAGTCCACTATTCCAGCTGTGTACCTAATGACTGGGATTGCCCAGGTGTTGATTGCCTTTATGGTATTTCCTCCATTGAGTTTGGATTTTAAGATCTTCTTCACTCTCTTGATGTATTCACCTCTAATCTTTTTCTTGATTTCAGTGTGCTTGATGTTGTCAGCTTGAAGGATACCCAAGTATTTGTAGTACTCTTCCTCATCCAGATTCTTAATGTTATTTTCGTGGGGCATCTTGATTCCTTCAGTTTTCACTACTTTTCCTTGTTTGATAGTAAGTGTGGCACATTTGTCCAAGCCAAACTCCATTACAATATCTTGGCTATATATACGGACAGTGTTGAGCAGCGATTCTATTCCAGATGATGTTTTTCCATACAGCTTCAGATCATCCATGTAAAGGAGGTGGGATAGTCTGGGAGATGTTTTTGATGTTTGATAGCCATGTCCTGAGTTATTCAGTATTGTTGACAGAGGAAACAGTGCAATAACAAATAGTAATGGTGATAATGAATCTCCTTGAAATATTCCTCTCTTGATATTAACCTCTCCCAGCTTCTCACCATTGATCTGCAACTGTGTCTTCCATTGTGCCATCGATCTTTGCACAAATTTTCTGATGTTTCTACTGACTCCTGTTATTTCTAGGCACTTTATTATCCAATCATGTGGCAGAGAGTCAAATGCCTTTTTGTAGTCAATCCATGCCACATTCAGGTTGGTCTTCCTTCTCTTGCAGTTTTCCAAGATCATTTTGTCTATTAGGAGTTGATCTTTTGTTCCTCTGCTATTGGGGCGGTTTCCTTTCTGCTCAGGTGGAAAGAGATTGTTTTCAACTAGATGCTGTTGTACTGCATCAGCTACCACACCAGTTAGTAATTTGAAAGTTGTTGGTAAGCAGGTAATTGGCCTGTAGTTACCTGGTGTTGCCCCTTTTGCTGGATTTTTCATTATTAGGTAGGTTTTCCCAGTTGTTAGCCACTTTTCAATTTCTCCTCCTTGTAGTATATTGTTGAATTGCTTGGCAATGAGTGGGTGTATAACAGTTAGATGTTTCAACCAAAACCCATGCAGTTCATCTTCACCTGGTGCTGACCAATTTTTGATTTTCTTTGCTCTTTTTTCTACCATTTTTGTTGTTATTACTAGTTCTTTCATTTCAACTTCTGTTTTATTTGTATCCACCTCTTTTAACCAAGCCGCATCCTTGTTGTATTTCTTTGGGTTATCCCATATCTGCTTCCAGAACTGCACTGTTTCTTCCTTGTCAGGTACTGACTGATTCCTTGCAGTTTCTCCATTGATGGATTGGTAGAAACGTTTCTGATTGGATTGAAATTGGAGGTTCTGCCTATAGTTTGCAATTCGAGCTTCATATCTACTGATTTTCCTGGCTATAGCTGTTATTTGTTGCTTTATTATTTCCAGTGCTTCCTTGATCTTCCTTGTTTCTAAGTGGTATTTCTTGATTAGGTATTCTTTGGTCTTCTTGTTCTTCAGCTTCTTTTCTTTCATCTGTTCTAGCTTGCTTGCATGTGATCTTAACTTGCTGATCTTATTTTCTAGTCTAACCTTCCATTTTTGTGGTGCACTGTTTGTTTGTTTTTCTTTTTTGTTGATTTTACATCCCAGGTATTCTGTTATAACTGCAGCTGTGCTGTACATTAGTTGGTTTGTTTCTTGCAGTGAATTGGTGCTTATACTTGCTATTGCAGTATTATTATATTATTATTATTTTATCAATCATCGCACAGTCAGCCAGATGTTCAGACTGGATTTGGCATTTTGTCTACCTATCGAGTCCTTACCAAGGACCTGGGATAGGCAGATGTGGATGTTTGATGGTATTACAGGTATCGTCGCAGGATGGAAGCAGTTCCTAATAAGGCCGCCTTTTGCAATTGACTAATAGCAAAATTTGTCAATGCCAATGGTGTTCAAGTGGTGCTCCAGTTGTTTTGGGATTGCACCCAAGGAGCCTATTACTATTGGTACTACCCTTGCTTGCTTTGCCACAGTCTTTCTATTTCTATTTGTAGGTCTTTGTATTTTGTTATCTTCTCCAGTTCTTTCTCTTCTATTCTGCTGTCTCCAGGCACTGCCACGTCCACTATCCAGACTTTTTTGTCTTTCTTATCGACAATTGTTAAGTCTGGGGTGTTATGTTGCAGGTGCTTGTCTGTTTGAATTCTGAAGTCCCAGAGCAGTTTAATTTTATCATTTTCTATGACTTTCTCTATTTTATGATCCCACCAGTTTTTGCTTACAGGCAAATGATATTTTTTGCAGATCTTCCAATGCACCATTGTTGCTACTTTGTCATGCCGCTGCTTGTAATCAGTCTGTGCAATCTTCTTGCAACAGCTTACCAAGTGGTCCACTGTTTCTTCAGCTTCTTTGCATAGGCGGCACTTACTGTCTGTTGCTGTCTTCTCAATTTTGACTTTGTATGCATTTGTCCTTAAGGCTTGGTCTTGTGCAGCCAGAATTAGTCCCTCGGTCTCTTTCTTCAATTTTCCTGCTCTTAGCCATTGCCAGGTTTTATTATTATCTGCTTTCCCAGCTATTTTTTTAATGTATTGGCCATGTAGTGCTTTGTCTTCCCATGCCTCTATTCTGTTCTTCATTTGGTCTTTCTTGTAGGCCAGTTTGGTCTCTCCAGTAGTTAGTAAGCCTTCCTGATATACTAATTTCAGTGCATCTTCATCATTGTTCTTCAGATATTCTTCCAAAGCCATTTTTTCTTCTTCAACCATCTGATGTACTTGTAGCATTCCACGCCCACCTATTTGCCTTGGTAGATAAAGTCTATCAATGTCACTGCGTGGATGAAGGGCATGATTCATTGTCATTATTTTTCTGGTCTGCCTATCCATTGCTTTTAGTTCTGCTTGAGTCCAGTCCACTATTCCAGCTGTGTACCTAATGACTGGGATTGCCCAGGTGTTGATTGCCTTTATGGTATTTCCTCCATTGAGTTTGGATTTTAAGATCTTCTTCACTCTCTTGATGTATTCACCTCTAATCTTTTTCTTGACTTCAGTGTGCTTGATGTTGTCAGCTTGAAGGATACCCAAGTATTTGTAGTACTCTTCCTCATCCAGACTCTTAATGTTATTTTCGTGGGGCATCTTGATTCCTTCAGTTTTCACTATTTTTCCTTGTTTGATAGTAAGTGTGGCACATTTGTCCAAGCCAAACTCCATTACAATATCTTGGCTATATATACGGACAGTGTTGAGCAGCGATTCTATTTCAGATGATGTTTTTCCATACAGCTTCAGATCATCCATGTAAAGGAGGTGGGATAGTCTAGCAGATGTTTTTGATGTTTGATAGCCATGTCCTGAGTTATTCAGTATTGTTGACAGAGGAAACAGTGCAATAACAAATAGTAATGGTGATAATGAATCTCCTTGAAATATTCCTCTCTTGATATTAACCTCTCCCAGCTCTCACCATTGATCTGCAACTGTGTCTTCCATTGTGCCATCGATCTTTGCACAAATTTTCTGATGTTTCTACTGACTCCTGTTATTTCTAGGCACTTGATTATCCAATCATGTGGCAGAGAGTCAAATGCCTTTTTGTAGTCAATCCATGCCACATTCAGGTTGGTCTTCCTTCTCTTGCAGTTTTCCAAGATCATTTTGTCTATTAGGAGTTGATCTTTTGTTCCTCTGCTATTGGGGCGGTTTCCTTTCTGCTCAGGTGGAAAGAGATTGTTTTCAACTAGATGCTGTTGTACTGCATCAGCTACCACACCAGTTAGTAATTTGAAAGTTGTTGGTAAGCAGGTAATTGGCCTGTAGTTACCTGGTGTTGCCCCTTTTGCTGGATTTTTCATTATTAGGTAGGTTTTCCCAGTTGTTAGCCACTTTTCAATTTCTCCTCCTTGTAGTATATTGTTGAACTGCTTGGCAATGAGTGGGTGTATAACAGTTAGATGTTTCAACCAAAACCCATGCAGTTCATCTTCACCTGGTGCTGACCAATTTTTGATTTTCTTTGCTCTTTTTTCTACCATTTTTGTTGTTATTACTAGTTCTTTCATTTCAACTTCTGTTTTATTTGCATCCACCTCTTTTAACCAAGCCGCATCCTTGTTGTATTTCTTTGGGTTTATTATTATTATTATTATTATTATTATTATTATTATTATTATTATAAATGGATGTGGTACAGATGCATATGGGCATCCGAATATGATCCAATCACTATTGTCATTGGCCAAACACACACCACCTTGATCTATCCATCATTATAAGCAGAAGAAACAACAGCTTCTTTAAATTGTAATATTTAAAGAATATGCCTAATATGAATGATGCAATTATAGTGTTGCACCATCACCAAAAACAAAAACAGTAATATACAATGGGAAGATGTGTTTCTGTTTCTACTTGAAAATATATATGACGGCTATATAGCAATTAATATCACTTGTTTAATAAAGTTATCATACAAATGATACAAATAATGTAAAATGATAAAACTGATACTGTATAATTGCATAATCCATTAATAAAGATTAACCTAAATTTAAGTAAAGGCATTGCTTCACCTAGACTACTTTGGATGCAGCATTGTACATTATTTCAGGAAGACACCAAGACATAAATGTGGTTTTTTTTTTAAGACACAATATCTCCTAAAAAGAGGATTGTTAAATCAAGTATTCACTGTGATATATTAAAAAAAAACTCACATAGCACAATGTGATTTAACATGATTACAAATTTCATAAAATAGCTAGATATAGCTATTAAAACAAATGGAGATGATTATTCTATGAAAATATAAATATTTTATTCGTTGTGTCCTCAATGCTTCCACCTTGCTCAGATTTAGTGAATCTTCCCACCCGTCCCCGATAAAGTACTTTACAAAAATGAATCTGCCAGGACCAACATAAGAATTTCTTAATGATAACTTCTTGGTTTTGCATCAATGGGATGGCTAATTGCTGCTGTTAATTAGCTAAGGATTTTACCTGTATGCTTCCCAGCTTTTTGCTTTTCAAGCTGCCTTCGAGTGATGCTGTCACGTAACCGTTTTAGATTTTCCTGGAAATGCAAAATTAAAACTTTAGGAATCTGAACAAATAGATTATTATTCATAATGGCATGCAAATCTGGCAAGAATTCATTGAATCAACACAAAGTAGAGAGACTTTCAAACTTAAAAATGCAGGAGAGCCCGTTTGGTGTAGCGCAGGGGTAGGCAACCTTGGCTCTTTTATGACTCGTGGACTTCAACTCCCAGAATTCCTGAGCCAGCCATGCTGTTATCATTGTTTTACTGAGGCCTCTTTTTTCTTCATTTTCAAAACTAGTAATCTACATATTGATATTTATGCAGGGCATTGTTGATATAGTTTCTTAAAACAAACTAGAACTTCTGCCAGCCATACTCCTGGTCACACCATCTTGTGTATTATGTTTCTGGAGATTCTGAATAAAAAGGATGTGTGATTTGTGACTTTCAAATAATTGGGGGCTTGTCCTGATAGTTCTCACCATTGCACGATTCTTCTTCATTTAAGATTTCAAACAAGGAAATATTCTAGTTTTAATCCCATGTAACGTATAAGGTTTCTGTTTCTACAAATGAAAGGTCGTGCTAGTTTGAAAGAAAAATCAGTCCTTAACGGAAGAGGGAAAAGACCCTATCTGGACATGTCTCCTTTTTCAAAGAATTTACACCAGTAACCTGGTTAGAAAATTATCAGCCAATCAGTTACTTTGAAATAGAAACCCCAACTAGTACATAGTGTCTCCTGCTACAGCCCCATTTTAAAATCAAGTAAGTCAAAACGGTCAGCCTTGCTAGAAAAATTGTGCAAGCTGGAAAATCTTAAAAAAGACAAAGGGAACAAAATCCTCTTTTGCTTAGGGAAGGAGAGTATGATAGGAAGAACTCCTTCTGGTTCCATTCAAACATTGAAATCCCTACACAATAGTGTAGAGCAGTGGTTCTCAACCTTTTTAATGCCGTGACCCCCCCCAAACCAGTCGTACGTCGAGGACTACTCAAGCGGTCGTAAGTCGAGGACTACTCAACTGGTGCAGCACCGTTTGCAGAATGGGACTTTTGGCAGGCTCAGCAGGGCAGAGACAGCCTGGACAATTCCTATTGGCTTTTGAAAGCCAATAGAATTAGACTCCTATTCAAGAGAGTCTATTCTATTGGCTTTCAAAAGCCAATAGAATAAAAGGGAGTAGCACAGCTAAGGAAAAGGGGGGAAAAAATGGCGGACTGCGTTGTTTGGTGACCCCCGTGAAATGGTCGTTCGACCCCAAATGGGGTCCCGACCCACAGGTTGAGAACCACTGGTATAGAAGCTGAAGGATTGCACACAAACCACTTTTCCAAATAATTGTTATTTCCTTAGAAGTCTACCCTGTCAGTATTTGTAAAGAGGCTGATAATAAAGATAAGGAATCCTTGCGGATTTTACTCCACTAGTTGTGGCTGACTATAGGAGGTGGTGCTTGGCTCTATTTCAAGGCCATTGAACCAGTGCTGTCCAAAGACGTTTCCATAGTCACATGGCCAGCATGACACCATGGAACTCTGTTACTTTTTCACCAAAGTAGTACCTATTTCTCTACTTGCATTTGATGCTTTTGAACTGCTAGATTGGCAGAAGCTGGGGTGAGGATGGGAGCTCACCCATTGCATAGTGCAGGGGTGGCGAACCTATGGCACGAGTGCCAGAGGTGGCATTCGGAGTCCTCTCTGTGGGCACACATGCCGTCATCCCAGCCCCGCCTCCCCGTGGCCCCTTCCACACCAGCAGCCCCCCGGAGGAGAGTCGCCCCCAGGCACGGCCTGCCTGGAGCAGCGCAGCCAAGGACATGGCAGCTGGGCAGTGGGGACAACACTCTGCCCTTGCGCCCCATCGCAAACAGTTGATGCTACGGGGCATGGGTGGAGGGTGTGGCCTCCATGGCGCTGCTGGGCTGCCTGGGCGATCTGCGGCGGGCCGTGGAGGTGGTGGGTGGCCCTGTGGGAGGGTGGGGACGGGGCAGGGGTGGAGCAATTTTGGGGCACTCGGTCTCTAAAAGGTTCACCATCACTGGCATAGTGCTTGGGTCTTAACCGCTCAGCCATTGCAACGCCCTAATAAAAGATATAATAAAAATATTGAAATATTTTTACTATGCAAGTGCAGGTTGCTGCCCAATACATGAGGAGAATATTAACTGTCTGGAAAGCTACTGAGTTGAATTTTGCCAGGCTTTTTTAGGTGTCCCTTCTTTGTCACTTGACTAGCCAATACAGTAGGGGTTCTCAACCTTGGCAACTTTAAGACTTGTGGACTTCAATTCCCAGAATTCCTCAGCCAGCAAAGCTGGCTGAGGAATTCTGGGAGTTGAAGTCCACAAGTCTTAAAGTTGCCAAGGTTGAGAACCCCTGCAATACAGGAACTATCTACATTGGGTTCTTCTAAAGCCCAAGTCTCTTGTAAAAAGAATGTCAAGGTCAGATAAAAAACTTGATTAAAAAGAGATTTCTTTCCTCACTGGATATTGTTACGGAGTGGGCAACTACACAAAGAGAATAAGTTTAATTCTCAAAAAACTTCTTCTTACCCTACTGTCCACAGATGAAGAAACTGAGGGGAAATATTCCACTAGGACAAAAGTATTCTAGTTGTCCCAAGCTACCTTAAGAGATGTTTTACATAAATTAGAAGTTCTGTCTACTGTAGAAACTTTTTCACCATTTTAGCCTATTAAAATTTGAAGAGTTCTATTTAAAAACTCAACTATGCTATTTACAGAAAGACAGGAAGCAGAAATTGTGGCAATTAATCTTTCCTGCAATGACAAAAACAGACACATTTGAAGTAATGTGAGATATAAGGCAAGCTAAGTTTAGTAATGAGACTTTATAATGTTCATCTCTTTGAAATACATACCTGTTGAAAGCGAAATGATTCGGCTCTCTTCTTTTGATTTAACTGCCACTCTTTGAAACACAGGACAGCTTCATCTACAGTGAGCATCCCCAGCTTCACTTGCTCTTGTAGAGTAATCAGCTGCCTCTGACCTGGAGTCTTCATACCAGCAAATGGGTCATATAGGCTCTGTTGAGACTGGCTTGAAACTGTATTTATTTGTTCTAAAATTAAAAAAGGGGGGAAAAAACGTCTTCATGTTATTTTCTCATAGGGCATATTACATAGTTCAATTGTGAAGTTTAAATCAAAGGAATGTTGTTTTCCAGGACATGAGTGTGCTGATTGAAGAGGGGGATCAAATAGGGATATTTGTGCATGATTTTCATAGGAAAGAGGAAGAAGAGCAGTGGAAGAACGAAGGAGTGCTGTCCCACTCACTCACACACTGGAAGACATATATGGGGTCTTCCCTCACCAACTTGCTGAAGAAGCTAATTGGATAAGCAGTGAAATGTTTCAAATCAAAAAGAAAAGAAGAGTAGTTGTCATGACTCAACTTCCAGATTAGAAAAAGAAGTATGTGAACTGCGCCAATTTGTAGTTTGAGCAAAGATGGTTTTCCCTTGTCTCCCTTGAACTCTAAACCTGCTAGAGACCCCTGGCTCATGGCCAGCTCTTCATTCCTCCACTGTAGTCAGAGCCACTGTCTCCAGTTCATCATTTCTTCCCCAGAAATCCTGACTTCTCTATTGCCTTTTCTGTGTGCCCTTAATGTCAAGTTCAAAGCACAAATATTGCTTCTCAGCTTGCCAACAAACTTGGGGGGGAGGGAAAGGGATTGAAAAGCAGACTTCAAAAGATCAAGAAAGCGGACTGTGAGAACCAAGGACGATTCACCAGGTGTCTGGCCAAACCCAGAGACCCTTTCTCATAACAATATTTTTCCACCTAATTGGGCAACATGACCTGATCAAGAAAGGGGAGGGGAAATTCTGTACTTTTACTATATGGGATTGGGTGGGGTTTTGCCAGAGCTGGTTTTGCTTGCATGTGTGCTGAAATGATGTACTCAATAAAGTTTTACATTACGAGTTTGGAAAGCCTCGAAAGTGTTTATTTGGTTGGGTTTGTTAGTCGGAACCTTGACATTAAACCAGCTCTCTTTTAAGAAAAACTTTCTCAAGGAATCCCAAGCTCCTGCAGCCTGTCCAGTTGCCTCCAGAAGAGCTGCGAAGACTTGGGAGAAGATGGCCAGAGGGGGACCAGCAAAAGAGAACCCAGTCATGGCCCAATTGGACTTTGGGGCCGAAGCTCTGGTGATCCACCCAAAGGAGCAAGCGACAGCGCAAAATGGGGCTGCCCCATCAGGAAGCCACAGCCAGATGGGAAAGGAGATATGGAGGGATGTGATGCCGAAGGCGGCTGAAGCTGAGTTCTTGGTGATCTTCTCTGGGGAGGGCGTCTGCCCAAGCCCTGAAGTGGAAGGGAAAGAAACCAGCGGATTGGGAGAAACAGGTACAGTGGAGATATTTGACAGCCTGTCAAGCAGCTGAGAGAGAGATTTCTTGGGTTGGACCTGCAAGGAGGAGAGTCAGTGTAGAGGGTGGAACTGTCAGTCAACTTTCAGTGACCGCTTTGGGCCTGCTGCCTCAAACATGACAGAGAATGGGATGCACGGCGGCCGTAGGAGCAGCCAGCCCCGGAGAACTGCCATCCCTCAACCTAGTCTGGTCTTAGTCCAAGCTGCCACCAGGCTCCCACAGACAGTGGCCCAGGAACAGGGGACCATTGGACAGCCAGCTCCCCAGCTGGTGGCCACTGGTGCTCAGCTCTGGCCTCTTCCCCTAAGGAGGAGGGTGGCTACTGGGATACTGGGGTGAGCCAGGACCCCTGGGACCCCCACCGATCAGTTACATTTAATGGGAATCTGGAGAAATTGGCATTTTTCCTGGACCGGTATGGGCCAATATACGCCGATGATGGAGCCTGTGTGGATGCCAATGTGACCAACCTCGAGGGAGAAGCAGCAGAGTGGATGATGGGGCTCCATGACGAGGGAGCCCCCAAGTTAGGGGACTGTGATGCATTCCTGGGAGAGCTCAGAAACTATTTTGGAGACAACACACAGGTCGAGCTAGCACAGTGTTTCCCAAACTTGACAATTTTAAGGCATGTGGACTTCAACTCCCAGAATTCCACAGCCAGCGTTGCTGGCTGTGGAATTCTGGGAGTTGAAGTCCTCATGCCTTAAAATTGTCAAGTTTGGGAAACACTGAGCTAGCAGAATGTGAGATCTGCGCCATCAGACAGGGAAGCAGACCGGAAACAGAATACATTAGAGAATTCCGGAGGCTTGTGGGGAAGCTGAGACACTGGCTGAAGTGACTCTTGGCCCATTACTTCAGAGATGGGCCTCAACCAAGAACTATTTGCTTTGAAGACTCCCAGATTGAATCTAGGATTGGTACCAACTACTGACAAACGTGGAGCTGAGCCTAATGGAATAGAGGAGGCACGGAGGAATCAAAAGCCGCCCAAAAAAGAGACAAGGGAGACGTCTGTTGGGGCGGAAAACTGCACCGGCTACTGATCCTAGGCGCCTACCTGGCCCCTGTTTCTGATGTGGCCAGGAAGGCCATTGGGTGGCAGCGTGCCTGGCACCCGCCTCAAGGACGGCCCCAAGAACCCCGAATCCCCAAAACCTGTAGTAAATTTAGCAGTATTTCCAGAAATGTCTGGAGACCTGTCAAGTTGGATTTAGGAATGGGAGAGTGTTTTTTTTTTCTGAGTGTGTAAAAACAAGGGAAGAGAAGTGTTATTAAGACAATTCACCACTTAGAAGAGGAATCACATCAATATCTTGCATGGCTACTTATGTTCCTTTAAGTCAGTGGTTCTCAACCTGTGGGTCGGGACCCCATTTGGGGTCGAATGACCATTTCACGGGGGTCGCCAAAAAACGCAGTCCGCCATTTTTTCCCCCCTTTTCCTTAGCTGTGCTACTCCCTTTTATTCTACTGGCTTTTGAAAACCAATAGAATAGACTCTCTTGAATAGAGTCTAATTCTATTGGCTTTCAAAAGCCAATAGGAATTGTCCAGGCTGTCTCTGCCCTGCTGAGCCCGCCAAAAGTCCCATTCTGCAAACGGTGCTGCACCAGTTGAGTAGTCCTCGACTTACGACCGGTTGAGTAGTCCTTGACTTACGGCCGGTTGGGGGTCACGGCATTAAAAGGTTGAGAACCACTGCTTTAAGTTAACAGCTCTTAGATCACATTGCCATTACTTGATTTAACTAACACGGCTCAGTTATGCAAATCTATAATGAATAGCATTAACCCTTAATAAAACTTACAATAACTTGTCAAAAAACTGCAAGAAATCTGTAATCGTGACTCACCTTTGCCAATATTTGTTGCAGAAACATAAAGATTCCCAGATTTCTCTTGATCTTTTCCTGCAAAAACTGAACATGTACAATTTATTTAAAACATTTTAAAAGTTCATAATATAAAGTTGTGTAAGAAGCACATATTAAAAATGTTATAAATAGTATTGAAATATAAATCAAGTTATCAAATATAACATCAAAAGAAATATAAATACAAATAGGAACGAAACTCAGAGGAGTACCCAAAATTGAAACACATTTTAAAAAGGAGAGCTCTAGACTTTATGAGTTTTTAAACGATACAGGTGTACAGAAATTTTATCACAATAAAACAAGCACTGATTGAGGCCCATTTTGACCAATACAAACTGCAGGAGAACTATCTTTCATAGGAAATCTTCCCTGTGAATCAAAGAGAATTTGTTTTTTTAAAAAAAACCCTTCAAATTGAACTATTAGATTAGGGAATAAGACTGTACTTCACTATTGATTCAGCCTGGGCTGAATGATTACAATAAAATTATTACTGTAAACTTCAAGGGAAAGAATGTAGAGCATTGGATTTAAAATCTCAGTTCCATTATGCTACTCATGTAAAAACATAAAAACATTGCATGATCAAAACTTAAAAAATGAGATAAGCATTTATATATATTGGAAGCAGCTACTTATTCTAAGATCTATCCAAACTTTCTTTGTGTACATTAGACTAAATTTGTTGTGGACATCTTTTTAGGCAGAAAAGGCATACTACAAATGTTTGTCACATGTCTATATTTGCCCCATTTTCTGACAAGAATTAGTAACTTAATAGATTAGGGAAATGCCATGGATATAGTGTATTTCAATCTGAGCAACCTGACATGATATGTTAATCATATGGTTTGATACAAGCTGTATGGTAGCTGTATAAATGGATGCAACTGCTTAAAAAGCAAATGTTCTTTTGAAATATATTAACAGTTGGATAGAGTCCAGATGCCATGTAATAACTTTCCCCTCTGCGCTGTCTTAATCACCCCTCACTGGTTCAATTGTGTGGACACCACAATTGAAAATATTACAAAGTGGAGTGAGTTAAAAGAACAACAGCCAAAATAGTGGTGTAGCTGAAAACTAAGTTATATTAAGGATAGTTAAATGAACTGGTTTAAGTTTAGCCCTCAGAAAAGATAACTAAGAACTACAACACGGAAAAAAATTGACTATACTGTTCAGATAATACTGGAAAAAGGGGAAGAGAACTTAGACCAGATTGATGTGTCGATAAATACCCATATTCAAATTCTGAGATTTGATGATACAGATGCCGTATTATGGAAACCGGCCTGGCACAGAAAGAAAGCTAGAGTTAGATTCAAAAATGTGATTTAAAATTTTACTTAATGGGTTAAAAAGGCTTTAGAGATCTGGACTGATTTAACAATTAACTGAGTATATGAAGTTACAAGATGATATTTTGTATAATAATATGCTTGTTTTAGATATGATACCCAAAGTGTTAATAATATGTTTATTCAAGATTAAATTGGAATATGGTAACTGTAAATTAGTAAAGCTTAAAAACAGGATTTGGATTTACATAGACGTAATGTTATTGATGATTGTTTTGACTGATTGAATTTCATGTCGAAATGGATTAACCTAAATATGTTATACTATTTGAGGGAAATAGAGAGGGAACTTTTAATGAATTAATTTGAATTATATATGTATGACTTTGTCTTTGGATGATTGATTACCCCATCACCATGGTGTTTCTTGAGCACTCTGATGTAAAAGTTAAAAAACCAATAAAACTTGTTTTTATATATATAATAAAAAAGATAACTAAGGAGAGATATCACATCATTTTCCCAATATCTAAGACAGGGATGTCAAACTGCCGGCCCACGGCTGGTTGCATCATACGGAGGCTGCATCCACCCCAGCTCCGGCAATGTGAAAAAAGTGACGATAGGTCACGACACGCCATGTGACGCGGCGAGTTTGACACTTGTGATCTAAGAGGTTGTCATAAAAAGAGAGAATAGACATTGTTGGTTGCCTAGAGCAGGGCTTTTCAACCTTTTCACAGATTGTACCACTTTTAGGACATGACAATATTCAAGTATCACCTGCGCTTAGCGAGGTGTCAAAAACCTGATGACTAAAAAAATACATATTTGGTTAGAAAAGATGTTAAGGAAACATGTGGATTTTAAACCGGAACTATTTTTATTAGGTATAATACCAGAAAAATATGATAAAGAAAATGTATATTTAATGTTGCATGTATTAACAGCAGCAAGAACTGTATTTGCTTAGCACTGGAAAAATGAAGAAATGCCATCTGAAGAAGAGATAATCAAGAAAATACTGGACTGCGCAGAAATGGATAGACTTAAACTAAAGATTAAAGAAAAAGAAGATACAGAACATTTTCAAATATGGGACGTATTTTATCGATGGCTGAAAAAACGGGGTAGAGATTAGAATTATAATATGTACTACGAAGTAAAACAAATGGACACAGACAACACGTTGTTTACCAAGAACCTATGAATTGTAAATATAGACCACTAATAAAATATTATAATAAAAAACAAGAGGTAAAAAAAAAATCTGAAATGAAATAAGTATTTGACATCTGTAAAAATGGACATTTTGCCCCTCTACACTGTCTAGCAAAAAAGTTATCAGATTTTTGTTCACTACTCACCTTTACAAATGTATGGTTCTTTGTCTTCCTGTATGGAGGAGAGATCAGGTCTTGGAACGGGAACAGGTGGTCTGTTCACCATTTCCTGAGGAAAGCTATCTTGTTCCACAGTATGATAGACATCTTTGTCTTCACTTTGATGGTAGATACCTTCTTTAGGTTCTGGTATCTCCAAATTCACACCTAGAAGAGGAAATCATATTAAAAATGAAAACAAACAAACCCCAGAATTTCAGATTTAAAAGAGCAGATAAGAATTGCAGCAACATCCAATAAAAAGAAGGGAGGCGGTATCTGCTTTTCTGTTAATAACCGTTGGTATAAAAATGTCGCTACGCTAAATAAATTTTGTGAGGTGAACTTAGAGACATTAACAGCATACCCTATTATGCCCCCCCCCCGAGAATTTTCTCCGTTCATCCTAACTGGGTCTACATACCACCCTAAGCCTGCTTAAACAAGGCAATGCAAACCTTAACTGACCAAATCTTGTGGGCTGAACAGAGATATTCAGACTCTGTACTCATTGTGTTAGGACAGTGGTTCTCAACCTTTTTAATGCCGCGACCCCCAACCGGTCGTAAGTCGAGGACTACTCAACCGGTCGTAAGTCGAGGACTACTCAACTTTTGAAAGCCAATAGAATTAGACTCTATTCAAGAGAGTCTATTCTATTGGCTTTCAAAAGCCAATAGAATAAAAGGGAGTAGCACAGCTAAGGAAAGGGGGGAAAAAATGGCGGACTGCGTTGTTTGGCGACCCCCGTGAAATGGTCGTTCGACCCCAAATGGGGTCCCGACCCACAGGTTGAGAACCGCTGTGTTAGGAGATTTTAACAGTGCTGACCTAAGCCAAGAGCTGCCAAGATACATTCAGCATATCAATTGTCTCACAAGGAGCAAGAATATTTTGGACCACTGCTACTCAACGATAAAAGATGCCTATCGCTCTGTACCAAGAGCAGCTATGGGACACTGTGATCACTGTATAATGCACCTTGAACCTGTTTATAGGTAGTACATCTTAAAATAAATAGTTAAAACAGTGAAATCCTGGACCGAAGAGGCAAAGACTGTGAGGGTGCTGATAGATACCTGCCAAAGAATAACATGCAAACCAATTGCTTCTGGTTGTAATCTTGCCTTTTGGTTAAGTGTTTGCTATGTTGCTCACCTTCTAAGAATCTGCGCATCATATAGTCCTTGGTAGTCCGTGAAAGAGGATTATTAGCATCTGACTGAAGCATTTCTACGTCTGGAAAAAAGGATCACACATGTACTTAGTTGACTTTACCAACATACATATTAAATATATGTGTAGCTTCCTATTTTTTTATTTTCTTAGATGAGGAAGAATTATTTTTTAAAAAGGTGTTGTATTAAAAACAGAGAAAGAACACCTTTAAAAGCTTAGTACCCTTTTGAAAATCAATCCATATCCAGGTATTGGCCATAAATTTCATACTGTTGGATTAACAATATTTACTCCTCATGCTTCCATAAAAGCTTGGTCATCAAAACTTCACACAAAGGTTATGTGTTTACAGGGGGTCCTCAACTTATGATGACAGTTGGGACAGGAATTTCCATTGCTGAGGGATGCAGTCGTTAAGCACCACCACATCGCTTAGCGATGGGAATCCCTGCAGTCCCAGTTGTCACTGTTAATTGAATTACACACTTGCTAGGCAATTTCCGCAGATGATAAAACTCTAATAGCAGAAAGTGAAGAGGAACTAAAGAGCCTCTTGATGCGGGTGAAGGAGAATGCAAAAGTTGGCTTGAAACTCAACATTAAGAAAACCAAAATCATGGCATCCAGCCCTCTCAAGTCCTGGCAAATAGATGGGAAAGAAATGGAGGTAGTGACAGATTTTATTTTTCTGGCCTCCAAGATCACCTCAGTTGGGGACTGCAGCCAAGAAATTAAAAGACGCTTGCTCCTGGGGAGGAAAGCTATGGCAAATCTAGACAGCATGCTAAAAAGCAGAGACATCACCCTGCCAACAAAAGTGCGTATAGTCCAGGCCATGGTTTTCCCAGTTGCAATGTATGGCTGTGAAAGTTGGACCATAAGAAAGGCTGAGCACGAAAGAATTGAGGCCTTTGAACTATGGTGCTGGAGAAGACTCCTGCGAGTCCCTTGGACTGCAAGGCGTTCAAACCGGTCAGTCCTAGAAGAGATCAACCCCGACTGCTCCTTAGAAGGCCAGATCCTGAAGTTGAAACTCAAGTATTTTGGCCACTTAATGAGAAGGAAGGACTCACTGGAGAAGAGCCTGATGCTGGGAAAGATTGAGGGCAATAGAAGAAGGGGACGACAGAGAATGAGATGGCTGGATGGAGTCACTGAAGCAGAAGGCGTGAGCTTAAATGGACTCCAGAAGATGGTAGAGGACAGGAAGACCTGGAGGAATGTTGTCAATGGGATCACGATGGGTCAGACACGACTTCACAACTAACTACAACAAGAATGCTCCCTTTCTGTTTTTTTGCTACTTACATTCTCATGCAATGTTAAGCAAATGAGCATATTTAAAATGACAAAAAATTGCCTCCACGTTAGTTAGTAGCCATTAACACTTATGTTATGAGATAAATAAGGAACGTTGTATATGTACATAAATCCTCTGTAGAGCTGGGCATCAAACCACCCATGGATTCATAGAGTTCTTCGTCACAACAGGGGTTCAGCGAACATTTCATCAGTAGGTCAGCAGAGACATGAGCCATGGACTCATAAATAGAGCCATTATCCTCCCCCTGCATCAACTCCTCTTTTATGTGAGTTTTCAGCATATCTGCCGTCTCCTGCAAGAAAAAGAAAAGCAAATGATCTTTCCAGGATAGTAATGACTGCTTGAGTAATATAATCAGCAAGACTATTGGTGGGTCAGTATTGGAAAAAAGATTCTCTGCCTTCTTTAGAAGAATGGGTATTCAAGGTTTCTGACTTAGCAGAAATGACTAAAATTTCTGCTTACTTAAAGGACCATTCACAAAAGAGATATGTTTCTGTATGGAGAAGATGGATAGAATATATTCAGAAGTAGGGAACAACAAAGTTTCATTTATTTTATGAATAATGGATTTTTATTAAATTATGAATTGAAGTTTGCAGAAAGTTAAGGGTTATTATGATTCCGGTTATTGTATAAGTAGTAAATTTAAGTTGACTATGTTTAGTTTTCTTTTTTTTCTTTCTTTTTTTTTGTAACCCTGTATTGAGCTCTGGGAAGTCGGGGGGGGGAGGGGGGAGGGGAGAGTATGGGTAGTATGTTCAATAGTTCAGATTTTGGTGATAGAGGATTGCTCGGGCATTTTCCCCCAGACCGCATCCGATTGAGAAGAAGAGGAGAGGGATAAGTAAGTAGAAAGATGGAGGAGAGAGGGAGGGGAGCAGAGGAGGAGGTAGAAGGAAGGGGGAAGTGAAGAGATGAGAGGGGGATGCGGTCTGGGGGGAAATGGGTGAGCAATGTCGGAATTTGTGTGTTGTATTTTAACTTCTTATGTATCTGAATTTTTTTTCTTATGATTGTAATGAAAATAAAATAATAAAAATTAAAAAAAAAAAAGAAATCCCACCCCTAAGGCTATGCAAGCAACTATGTTTCCCCATACAGCTTGTTGGCGGGCTTTTCATGAAACGCCCAGCCCGCAGTCCCGGGAGCAGCTGAGGACCTTGGTTCCCATAAGAGAAAGTCTGAGAGAGAAAGTCTGTTTTGTCTAGGGCAGTGGTTCTCAACCTGTGGGTCGGGACCCCATTTGGGGTCGAACGACCATTTCACAGGGGTCGCCAAACAATGCAGTCCGCCATTTTTTCCCCTTTTCCTTAGCTGTGCTACTCCCTTTTATTCTATTGGTTTTTGAAAGCCAATAGAATAGACTCTCTTGAATAGAATCTAATTCTATTGGCTTTCAAAAGCCAATAGGAATTGTCCAGGCTGTCTCTGCCCTGCTGAGCCCGCCAAAAGTCCCATTCTGCAAACGGTGCTGCAAATTGTCTGCAGCGAAGGTGAGCTGTCTGGAAGTTTCCACCCCTCCCTGCTGAGCAACTACTAAAAATGTAAGTAAAAGAGGGCCAGGGGTGGGAGGCCGGCGGGCGCAGGGAGGGTTGCTGATGCGTGTGGGGCCCAGCGGGTGCCTTACCTCCCTTGGGCTGGGCCAGCTGGTGGCCCAGCCGGTGGTCGGCCTGTGCCGTCTCTGCCGCTTGCCAGCTACGCCTCAGCCGGCGCAGGGGGCGGCACCACGCATGCGCGGCGCTCCCGGGCAGGGAAAGTCCCCGACTTACGACCGGTTGGGTAGTCCTTGACTTACGATCGGTTGGGGGTCGCAGCATTAAAAAGGTTGAGAACCACTGGTCTAGGGCAACCTCTGGCAACCCCTCTCCCTCCGTGCTATGTGTCAACTAGAAATGAGAAGGAAAAAATGGCGGCAGCCATGCTCATTTTAAAGTTGACCCCAAGGTCCCTCTCACAGTTACTGTTTTACAGTCCTCTGTGTTACTTCAGAATCTATAACAGTGGTGGCGAACCTATGGCACGCGTGCCAGAGGCAGCAATCAGAACCCTCTCTCCGGGCACACGCGCCGTCGCCCCAGCCCCACCTCCCCTCATGGACCCCTCTCCAGCAGCCCCTCTGGAGGAGAGCTGCCCCCAAGTGGGGCCCACGCAGAACAGCACAGCCAAGGACATGGCAGCCGGGCAGTGGGGACAAGACTCCGCCCTCGTGCCCCGTCACGTGCAAATGATGCTGCAGGGCATGGGCGTGGCCACCATGGTGCTTCTGGGCCACCTGGGCGATCTGTGGCAGGCCGTGGAGGTGTTGGGTGGCCCGCAGGGCGGGGACGGTGGGGGGGTGGGGGGTTGGGCACTCGGTCTCTAAAAGGTTCGCCATCACTGATCTATAACATAACCCATAGGGATTTTTTCCTATGTGATAATTGACGTATCAAAAGTCTCTAGATTGAATTCTAAAAGTCCCATTTAGATTAATGGGGAGGACTCCTTAAGATCTGTCTTTCAAATTATTATTTCACTACAAAAATGGCCCTCATCTTCTGGTAAACTCAATGTCATTCACATGTCAATTATTGTGAAATAAGACCACACACATATATAATTGAAACCTTCAAATCTATTGTTTCTATATGAGTCTTGAATTGTTAAGTTTTAGTCCCCAGTACTTTTCTTCCCATTATAATAGACAAAAAAAATTATTTTTACCACATATTCGTCAATGAATTGGCGGAGATCTTTGAAGCCATGCTTTTCAGCAATGTTGTTAGGATAGTGACCATACTTGTTGGCAACACTGTAAGCCTGCAGAGCTCCTGGGCATGTAAGCAACAGGGCTGTGAGATTTTTTAAACCATATTTTGCAGCAAAGTGTAACAGAGTTGGCAGCTCTTCATCTCTTTGACCTGAAAGAAAAAGGAGGAAAATGCAATTTCTGATGACAAATTAAATAATGGAAATGGCCTAAATCTAAATTTCAGTTTCTGTTTATCATGTGTCGTGTATCATACAAGGGTGTTATACATTATTATTGTTGTTAGTTGCAAAGTCGTGTCTGACCCATTGCGACCCCATGGACAACGTTCCTCCAGGCCTTCCTATCCTCTACCATCTTCTGGAGTCCATTCAAATTCACACCTACTGCTTCAGTGACTCCATCCAGCCACCTCATTCTCTGTCGTCCCCTTCTTCTATGGCCCTCCATCTTTCCCAGCATTAGGCCCTTCTCCAGTGAGTCCTTCCTTCTCATTAGGTGGCCAAAGTATTTGAGTTTCAACTTCAGGATCTGGCCTTCTAAAGAGCAGTCAGGGTTGATCTCCTCTAGGACTGACCGGTTTGATCGCCTTGCAGTCCAGGGGACTCGCAGGAGTCTTCTCCAGCATCATAGTTCAAAGGCCTCAATTCTTTGGCACTCAGCCTTTTTTATGGTCCAACTTTCACAGCCATACATTGCAACTGGGAAAACCATGGCCTTGACTATATGTACTGTTACACATTATATCACTTCTTAAATATAAAATGAGTCATGAGCTGATGTACAAAGCTGGCAAGTGATATATTGGCATGAAAGTCAACTGGATGACTTAGGCCAGTAACTCTCTTTCAGCCCAATCATCCCACAAGTTGGTTATTGAGGGGAAAATTGGAGGAGGAAAGAGTATTAGATATGTTCACCATCTTGAGTTATTTATTGAAATAATAAAGGCGGGATAAAAAAAATCTAAAAATAAAAAATGATAATCTTTCTTTCTGAACATTGCCACTGTGCTTTTTATTACAATAATTAAATTTGCCTATTAAAGTACGAATTGTTAAATAAATAAATATCAATAAATAAATAAGGGCATTATTTCAATGTATATTCTTCTAAGCTATGCTTTTTCTTAAAAGAACTCTTCGACAATAGAACAAGTGTTCTGTCCACATCTCTTTCTAGTCTCTTAAAATATCTGTTTTCGGAACTGGCATACAACTGTCCAAGTTGCTCTAGTTGCTTGGATTGTGTAAGACAGTTACACATGCCCAATTCATTCATATAACATATAACATACCGTATTGTCCGGCATATAAGACGATTTTCTAAATCATGAAAATCTTCTCAAAAGTCAGGGGTCGTCTTATACACCGGGTATAAGGGGGGACAGCCTGGTGACGGAGGAGGAGAACCAGCACAGGATCTAAGCAGTTCAGCGTTTTGGAAGGAAGAGTGAGCCGTGGATCCTCCGGCGACTGTTCTGGGCGCTGGAGCAGCAAAAGGACGATTCCGGATGCCATTAGACACCGCGCATGCGCAGAAGGGCGAGCCGCCGAACAGCTGACGAGCGGCAAGCCGGTGAACAGCTGATGGGCGGTAGGCGACAATTATGATTAACAGTCAAGGGCGTACCATATTGAAATCAAATCTGATGTTTTTTAATTTTTATTTGGTGTGCGTTGGAAGAGGAGTAGTCTTATACGGCAAGTATAGCCCAAACTCTATATTTTAACTGGAAAAGTTGGGGGTCGTCTTATACGCCCAGTCATCTTATACCCCGGAAAATACGGTATGCCTTTTTTGCATAATGTAGTAGCCCTTGAATTTAGTACAGAATCATTCATAAAGGCTTTTTTTTCCCAAATCGCCTTCATACTCACTAATAATATTTTCTTCTTCCAATTGGTTGATTCCTAAGAGATGCAAACCACTGGCAGGAAGGTTTTTTTTCAGTGATTCTGTGAGGATTTTATCCAGAGTTTCTGTGCAGTAAGGTACAATTTTAAATGCCTAGATGTAAGAAGAGAACCACCACCAATTATGTATACCCAGTACTAGTTCAATGTATTAAGGATTTGTCTATGACTTAAAAAAACTGAAGGAATTACTAGCATTTAATAATCTTAAAACAAAATGATGATCATCCGTCACCATGCTCTACTCAACTTAATTCACCTGGGTCAGAGACAGGCAACCTTGGCTCTTTTATGACTCGTGGACCAACTCCCAGAACTCCTGAGCCAGCCATGCTGAGGGGAAAGGGAGAGGTAGCCCAGAGGTCTGGTTCTGATTGCAAAACCATGCCCACTGCCACAGGTGCTCACTTGTGTATGCACCAACCCGTTAAAGTCACAGAGAAACCCATGCAATTGAAAGAGGGAAAATGCTGTAGAGATAAGCAAGAACTATCACTCATGCACTACTGGTCACCTCATGGTTGGACTATTGCAGTGGTTCTCAACCTGTGGGTCGGGACCCCATTTAGGGTCGAATGACCATTTCACGGGGGTCGCCAAACAACGCAATCCGCCATTTTTTCCCCCTTTTCTTTAGCTGTGCTACTCCCTTTTATTCTATTGGCTTTTGAAAGCCAATAGAATAGACTCTCTTGAATAGAGTCTAATTCTATTGGCTTTCAAAAGCCAATAGGAATTGTCCAGGCTGTCTCTGCCCTGCTGAGCCCGCCAAAAGTCCCACTCTGCAAACGGTGCTGCACCAGTTGAGTAGTCCTCGACTTACGACCGGTTGAGTAGTCCTCGACTTACGACCTGTTGGGGGTCGCAGCATTAAAAAGGTTGAGAACCACTGGACTATTGCAATGTATTCTGTATAGGGCACATGGACCAGACCACTTGGAAGCCATTGCAGGTGCAGAATGCAATAGTGTCAGGTAGGCCTGGGACACCACTACTGCATGAACTGCACTGGTTAACAGTCAATTTCCAGGCACAATTCAAGATGCTGGTTGTTACCTATGTAGCCTTTTGTGATGTAGAGCCAGATTATCTGTGGGACTGCCCATCTTCCATAGTCTCCTTGAGGTCTCTATATTATCACAATTAAACAAGACCATACAATTCAAAAACACCTTTTTCTAATAAACACATGACTTATTTTAGCGAGAAACAGGTTTTCTGAATCCTCCGTTTATTTATTTCTCACAAGATGCTTTTGCTACTTACTCATACCTCAGGTTTACAGTTGGTTCTATCTTTCTAATATCTTAAGTGGCGTATCAAGCTCTCTCCTGTTTCCCCTTCCACCCTCAGGCCGGGAGGTTATTTACTGTACCCCATTAGAAATTAATTTAATATTTCACCTGACACATGAATTCCATTGGATTTGCTACGTTAGACAACAAGTTGCTAATTTCTTCCATGTCAGTATAGTAATTGATGTTTGCTTCAGCTATTATTAAATCTCCAGAAAACAGTTTCAAAGATACAGTTCCAGGTGATAAGTCTAAAGGGCAAGACAAGATCAGCAATAATCAGCAATAATCATACACTGGGTTGAAAGAAGCAGTGGAAAAAAAGGATCAGGATATACACGTGTAAACTGGATACCTCTTTAATTCTAAATGAAGCAAAATGCCCAGAGTCAGTTAAACATGATGAGAGCTTGAGTGGGAAAACAGGGCTTTGTGTTTAAAAAAAAAAAAACGAAAAAAAACCAACATCCTAGAAAAAAAAACAGGGGCAAAGAACTTCCATTTTTGAATCCAGAGAGTCTTTGTTCTTTACAGAATTGAAAAGCTAAAGCCAGAAAAAGTTTTCATGCAGAAAATGCTTCTGATTAGAATCAAGCAAGAGTCCATGTTTTTAATTATATTTTTTACAATTTTATGTTAATTTTTAAACTGCTGTTTCAAAATCACTTTAGGTTCCATCCAAATTAAAAAGCTTCGGGAAAATAACAGCACTTGGATCATTTTCACTGATCAATAGATGGGAAATCCCCAGGTTAATCTGGGACCAAAGGCTGGAAGAGAAAATTAAGCCGCATTTCAGGAAGCAATCAAAATGCTTCCTTACTGTTGCCAAGAAAACTACACAGAAGGATCCATGAAGTTTTACCAGGAGTCAAGCTTGCCTTGAAGGAGCCTGTCTTTTTTCATTTCATACAAATACACTCAGTCCTTGTTATTTCTGGGGTTTGTTCTTGAAAACCCCCACAGAAATGGAAACCACAGTTACTGAAGCATTGGTCCTATGGGAAAAATGGGATTTGATATATTTTATTTTAAAATATAGTTTTACAAACTCTTCAGCAGCTTCCATTATTTGCTGAATCAGCCTCCCCTGACAGTTTCACATTTTTAAAACCATACCAGTTTTTAAAATGCTTCATCCAACCAATGCTCCCACAGATGACTTCCTGATTTTCAGTCAAATGTTTGTAAATTTATATGGTTTTTTTTTTTTTATTTTGCTGTTCATAAGACATCCCTTATGCAGCGAACCATTTCATTTATCCACAAACTAAGCTAGTTTTCTATTTCTTCCATCACTTTACAAATCACAGCAATCTCTTTAGCACTGTCTGGAGCAGCTTTGCAAATAGACTTATGAACATTGTCTTCCTTTTGGAATATGGCAGAGGGTTGATTCATTTACCTTGAATTTTCTGTCTATGGATGCTACAGAGTTTCCAAAACAAAGCAAAGCAAACACTCTCAATTTTATCTGTTAGGCTAATTATGGAATGTTTGCACTTGTTGAAACACTGTCGTTAGCACTTTGCTTTGATGCCATTGTTGAAATTTATTCAACCTTACCCCCCAAACAGCCTAAGAGTGAGAACACAAGAACTATTATCAAAATAACATGGAGAATACAAGAACAAGAACATGGTTTCCTTTTGAATAGCTGGTGTCACTTGTGTCATTGCTACATAATAAGATTCCATTGTGTATGCCACATATAGCTGCGTTGAGACCATGTTTGAAAAAAATGGGTTACACTTATACTTCCATATGTAAATGAATCTGCAGTAGGGCTCTTCAAACTTGGCCCTTTTATGACTTGTGGACTTCAGCTCCCAGAATTTCTCAGCCAGCATATGCTGGCTGAGGAATTCTGGGAGTTGAAGTCCACAAGTCATGAAAGGGCCAAGTTTGAAGAGCCCTGTGTCAATAGATAGGAAATACTGGCATTTAGTTGGTGTGTGAGATCCATAAGCAGTAGTTAGAAAGCAAATTGTGAACAAACTCAGAGAAATATGACTTAAAAGAGTGCCAATATTGTTTAAATATAAACCTATAATTAAGTAGCATGAATAAATATGGGGGCAGCACCAGACTGCTGAATCTGGATTATTCATGGACAAGCTCAGGTATCACCAACAGTTACAAAGCTCCTGTAATATATGTTGAAAGCAAAGCGTTGCTGGCTGAGGAATTCTGGGAGTTGAAGTCCACGAGTCATAAAAGGGCCAAGTTTGAAAACCCTTGATGTACAGGAATTGAATGTATGAGGAGTGAGTGTGTACAGGTAGTAGTCAGTTAATAATGGTAATTGGGATCAGAATTTGTGTCACTAAGCAATGTAGTTGTAAATCCCGGTATCATGTGATCACATTGCTTAGCAAGAGCAATCTCAGCAGTTCTGGTGGTTGTCATTAACCAAATCCCACCTGGTTATTAGGCATGGACCCACCCCAATCCAAGCAATTCCTGGCTTGCTGCCTTGGGGAGCCCTGAATCTTGCTAAGGTAAGGAACTGCTTCCTCTTCATGTCCTTTCGCTCACCTATCTCCCCCCCCCTCCATTTCTGGTCTTGGCCATCCTGCATTCTACCACCTCTACTAAATCTGCTACCTTTTGTTGTCATCTTCCTTATACTGCTGATGAGGCATGCCTGAAATGGCCCTTTGTGAGGCAGCTGCCTCGCAAATGTTGGGCCAGGCATATAGAGGACATCTAGCAGAGTGCACGATGGCCAAATGGCCAGATATGGGGGGAGAAAAGTAGGGGTGTCAGGACCAGGAGAGGCAGAGCATCCAAAATGGCAGAGATGGGGGGAGGGAGATAAGCAAACAGGGAAGCTGAAGCACCCTTGCAGTCATAAATACGGGTGGGTTAGCACTAGCATGTAGAGGTGGGGGCCAGGCTGAGGTCGTGTGCAGAACACTGCCCCGCCAAAGCCTGTGTGCCCCTCCTCTCTGCATCTATCTCATTCCTTCACATCACCATGGTGATGTGAAAGTGCGCAGCTTGTGCAATGACCTTGCCTGCCTGATAGCAGCTAGCTCACACCAACAAGATGTTATTGACAAACTGCTCCCTGTTTCTGGCCTCTGGCTTCTATATTCTTAAGGATTGGCTAGGAGTTTAACCAATGAAATGCTATTGTCATGTAGAAACTTTTGCTGCTTGTAAGCTGTATATAAACAATAAACTGCTGCGTGCCAGCAGCCATATTTGCACCCTGCAATGACTGAGCACTGATTACTACACTAGCAACAGCACCTAGACTTATATATCACTTCAGAGTGCTTTAGCCCTCTCCGAACAGTTTACAGAATCAGCATATTACCCCCAATGATCTGGGTCCTCATTTTACCGACCTCGGAAGGATGGAAGGCTGAGTCAATCTTGAGCAGGTCAGGATTGAACTCCCGGCAGTGGGCAGAGTCAGTCTGCAATACTGCATTCTGACCACTACGCCACTATACCTGAGTGGGCTGCCAAGTGTCACATGACCACGGGGATGCTGCAATAGCTATAACTTTGGATATCACTACAATTTTTCAGCACCGTAATTTCAATAATTGCTGAACAAATGTTTGTTAACCAAAGACTACTTGTACAGAGCAATATGCATAAAACATTTCTAATTTTATATACACACCTGATGTGATTTTATTTTAAGGTATCTATTAAGGGCAAAAAAAACCCTCTGTGGAATTTATAAAAATGGTTAAATTGACATCTTGCAAACAGAAATGTTTATTAACTTTGCTTTACTGTGCAGCTCTCACTTCACATTAACTTTGTCAAAAGAACAGCAAAACGTGGTGAAGAATGAACAAATTTGGTTCCATTCAGTAGCAGTAGCAGAATCCATGTAGGGTCACATTTGACCCTAAATAAACTGAATTGTAAAATGTAAGAAACTCATAAAATTGTAAAAGTATTAAGCAATTTAAGTGTTCCAAACAATCTGGCGACTCTAACAATTCAACTCACCCTGTAACTAAAAGGGACCACAGAGGTTTAAAATAAGCTTTCAAAGCACTGTTGATGTTTAGAACAATTTTGTTTCATTCCATTCTGCGCTTGTTGTGCAGAGTCTGTGAGTATATCAGGATAAAATTCTGAACCAGAAATCCAGTGACCAGAGTAGCAGTGACTCAGATATCCAACTAGTTAAAGCCAGCACCATGTCCTTCAGATGCTTGGCTTGGCTCCATACCAAGTGCTGATCCATACAGCGTTTAATATTAAAATTCCATGTAAGTATCTTGTTAATGTAATATAGGACTGCGATAATAATTTCTTCCTTTAGAGCAAATATTTTTATTAAAAAAATAAATTTCACAGGCATACTTTTTAGGCATACTTCGTTTGACTACAGGTAGTCCTTGACTTATAACCCCAACTGGGACCATATCTTCCAATACTAACCAATGTGTTCATTAACTGAGCCACATCTGACTTTACAACTTTTACCACAGTTGTTAAGAGAATCATGCAGTCATTAAGTGAATCCACCTTCACCCATTGACTTGGCTTGTCAGAAGTCTAGTGAAAAGACTACAAAATAACAATTACATGACCCTGGGACATTGCAGCTGTCATAAACATAGGTGAGTTGCCAAGCCCCTGCATTTTGATCACATGATCATGGGGAAATTGTGATGGTCATAATTGTCATCATAAGTCATTTTTCAGTGCGGTCATAACTTTCAAGGGTTATTAAACCTATGGTTATAAGTCGAGGACTACCTGTAAAAAAATTAATTAGCTACTATATGTATAGATATTATTATGTCCTCTGACAATACGTAATACTTCTTATAAAGAGAAGTTTCCTAATGCTTTTAAAAATATCATGTTGTTAAAATTAACAGCATGAACAGAAAGTACAGGAAGTGCAGCTGAGCTTCTGCTTCCTGTGTCAGCTTTCTCCCCACAGCTGGACTTCTTGTATAACCCATGAGAAATGCAGGTCCACTTTATGACATTATGCAGAAGTGCAAAAGCAGAAAGCACAGTCTAAGCAACTATTTGAATTCTGTGCATTCTATTAGTCATCCACTTGCAAGTTGGTGTAAATAAATCTATTTTCTAATTGTAGCTTTTTGCATCCTCAGTGACAGAAAAAAATATTTTTGATAGTATATTATTAGCCTAGTACAAGTATACGACTAATAGGAAGAGAAACTCTACTAAAATGTTCTGACACACACAAATTCAAGATAGAAAAGATCAGCTTTAGTACTTACCAGGTGTGTGAACGGAGACTGTATATTCATTCTCAAGGCTTGCTGATAGTTTCAGTGGCTGACAGCTTTTAGAAGAAAATTCCACTTCCATTTTTGTTTGCCTATCCAATTTACATTTTAGGATTATAAAAACAGTTGTCTGCACCTACATTTAAAAAAAAAAACACAGTAAGATCCAGGGCAGGGCCTTTGTAATATTCAGTTTTCACAATACATTGATATATTTTGGGCTTGAGGATCTACAGGCACAAGTTCTCCTTATTTGTGCTTGGATAAGAAAGAATGCTTGAAACTCAAATACTTTGGCCACCTAATGAGAAGGAAGGATTCACTGGAGAAGAGCCTAATGCTGGGAAAGATGGAGGGCAATAGAAGAAGGGGACGACAGAGAATGAGGTGGCTGGATGGAGTCACTGAAGCAGTAGGCGTGAGCTTCAATGGATTCCAGAAGATGGTAGAGGACAGGAAGGTCTGGAGGAACGTTATCCATAGTGTTGCGATGGGTCGGACACGACTTCACAACTAACAACAAGGAAGAATGCACCTTCTTCTTCAATCTTATATAGATGACTGCTGAGCCGGATAGCATTGGTTCAGAAGGAATGAAACAAAATTTATTCTCATCACAACTTTATTGTGGTGACAGTGATAATGAGAGGAGACACTGCTGTCCTTCATTTAGCCAATTCATAAGTGGCATGCAACATTTTAAAGCATCAAAATTTGTATTTAAGCATTTAAGCCAATAGCAAACATAAGCTCTGCCACTCAGCAAATGCCAACCACATTTTTTTTTCCAAAACACGTATTTTTTGAAGGATGAAAATTTTTACAAAACTATGACTAAAAAACTATACTCATTTTGCCCGCTGCTATTGACTCTTACGTTATTTTTCTGTCCATTCGCTTTCAGTCAACTATAATTTTCTATCTCAGTTTTTCACAAAACATTTGAATGCACACCTCCACATTCAAGGAACACTACATTTTATTTCAGTTATTCCAAAGACTTATTTATCCTTAAGAGTCAAGTTCAGCCTGCAAAAATATACGAAGCAGTTAGATTCTTAAAACTTTCTAAGGATTTTTCATCAGGCTTTGGTGCACATGGCTTGTGTTTCCACCCCCCACCCCCCCAACAGTTCTCTGAACCCAATCTACTCCTTTTGCAAAGAAGCTCAGATGACTAACACAACTACAGGACCGACAAAATTGTAGTACAGTATTATGAAGAACCAGCTAGTTATAGGGCAGAACTGGTTTTAAAAGAAGACATGTCTCCCTCCAGTATTTTCAACGGAAATCTTTAAAAAGGCTGACACTAGAAGACATGCAAGTTCCCTTCCAGATCTGTTATTCTGCTATTCATGCAGAAATTATCAGATGTGTTGTCAGTTCCCATCTCACTCTGGAGGAGGTGGCAAATCCATGGCTTCAGTTCCTCCTGGACACTAAGCTCTTTCTGGAATACCAGAGAGCAGCTTTGGCTGGTGTCCCGGTTGCCACGCTTTTGAGAGCAGGAGACCTTAGCAAAAACTATCCATATCCTTGTTATCCCTAGACTGCTTTACTGAAATAGTCTCTTTGCTTAGACCTACCCTTAAGATTACCCGAAACTATAATTGTTTCAAAACTCAGCCGCACAGAGTTACCCTGTGCTTAGGGTGCCCGGTACATTTAAGACAGACATGTCAAACACAAGGCCTGGGGGCCAGATGCGGCCTGCGACGTAGTTTCATGTGGCCCACGAAACCATCCTGGAAACAGTGAGGGAACAGCCCCCACTGCCTTGGCCCTGGCCCAGGCCAGCCAGGAGCCAATGTACAATTTTGTGGTGGCCATCTATGCTGAAACGCATTCAGTCTTAGCTCCACAAGGCCATCTGGAAACAGCGAGGAACCAGCCCTGCCGTGTCAGCACCGCCTCCTGGGTGCATGCTGGAGAGGTGTCACCCTTTGTGAGAAATGAAGAAATGCACTATCGCCTGGAAGTGGCCAGCAAATGGCCCTCGCCTACTCCACATATCCGGCTTGATGGGCTCCAGGGGAGGGGTTACGGCAGGCTCTTCCAGTGGACTATGCCTTGGCGCTTGCCCCGGTCCCACCCCCTTCTGCCAGAGACCCTCAGATCTGTCCTACTCCTGCCCAGGCCCCCACAGGCCCCCTTGATGCGAATGATGTAGAGTTGGCCACGCCCACCCAGTAGGCCACACCCACTCCAGCCACGCCCACCCAGTGGGCCATGCCCCCCTGGTCACTACCTACCCGGGCCCCCCGAGGACAACCGCAATGCTGATGCGACCCTCAGTGAAATTGAGTTTGACACCCCTGATTTAAGAAATAAAATAAAATGCAGTCGCTTACTTTCTGGCAGGTAAGAACCACTTCTGAAGTACAGAACCAATACTGATGGTGCTCTGATTACCAAGTTTCTGAATGAAACCTATCAATCCTATATGATTTGTGTCTGGGTCAACCAAGGCACCATTTCCTCCAAATTGAATTTTCTCATCTCGTTTGTTCATTATGGCAGGGATGTTGTAGATTTTCTCTTTTCGGGACATTGTGGAGGAAAGAGGGGAAAACAAGCCAGAAACCTGGAAGCCAACCATCCTTTTGGTAGATTTAGGCCAAATGTGCAGCCACAAATATCATTATACTTATGTCTGAGCAGAACTAGAACCTCATTAAAACCCCAACAATAGATTTCGTTTCCCTCCCCCATAGGGTGAACTACGGAAAACAAAACTCAAATTCAACTCAAGCTCACGTAAGACCCCAGATAATAACAATGTGAAATAGGAAAAGGAAATGCATAGTAAAAAGAATACGACAGGGATAGAAAACCTGTAGTCCGCTAAATGTTGCGAGCTGTGATTTAATTAAGCATCCTTAATCAGTGTCTATGCTGACTAGGGCTGCTAAGGTTTTGGTTCAAGAGTATTTGGTTGCAGGTTCACCATCCCTTGCTCAAGAAAAGGAAAATCTGCTACAGAATACAATTACATATATCACACATTTTCTTATCTACATTTGTTGTTGTTGTTAATTGCGAAGTCGTGTCCGACCCATCGCGACTCCATGGACAACGTTCCTCCAGGTCTTCCTGTCCTCTACCATCTTCTGGAGTCCATTTAAGTTCACACCTACTGCTTCAGTGACTCCATCCAGCCATCTCATTCTCTGTCGTCCCCTTCTTCTATTGCCCTCATCTTTCCCTGCATTAGGCCCTTCTCCAGTGAGTCCTTCCTTCTCATTAGGTGGCCAAAGTATTTGAGTTTCAACTTCAGGATCTGGCCTTCTAAAGAGCAGTCGGGGTTGATCTCTTCTAGGACTGACCGATTTGAACGCCTTGCAGTCCAGGGGACTCGCAGGAGTCTTCTCCAGCACCATAGTTCAAATGCCTCAATTCTTTTGCACTCAGCCTTTCTTATGGTCCAACTTTCACAGCCATACATTGCAACTGGGAAAACCATGGCCTTGACTGTATGTACTTTTGTTGACAGGGTGATATCTCTGCTTTTTAGTATGCTGTCTAGATTTGCCACAGCTTTCCTCCCCAGGAGCAAGCGTCTTTTAATTTCTTGGCTACAGTCCCCATCTGAGGTGATCTTGGAGCCCAGAAAAATAAAATCTGTCACTACCTCCATTTCTTCCCCATCTATTTGCCAGGAATTGAGAGGGCCGGATGCCATGATTTTGGTTTTTTTAATGTTGAGTTTCAAGCCAACTTTTGCACTCTCCTTCTTCACCCGCATCAAGAGGCTCTTTAGTTCCTCTTCACTATCTGTCTTATCTACATAGTCCAACTCAAAAAATTGCCTAGCAGTGTTAAGGATAAGTCTGCTTATGAATAGTTGTGTTATAATTAAGCTATATCCACTGCAGACAGGTATGATTACTCTTCCAGTTCTATCAGATCACCTTTGAAGGAGTAAAATATACTGTACCCCACAGCGTATACGATCAGGCTGCACAGCAACAAGATTTTCTAATCCGGTCACTGAAGGTTCATACGCCTGACAGCCTGGAAAACTGTGTGACACTTGTAGGCGCCCAGCATCCTCCGTCTTTGCATCAGCCACTGAATCACAACCAGAATCTAAGAAGAGAATAAACGTTAATATGACTTCTGAACATTGTTTGGCTATTGGGAAATTCCATAGAAAGAACATAAATTAAAAAATAAATGCATTCTATGTAAGAAAAAAAGAAATATTACTTTAAACTCAATAATGATCATATGGAAAGCCAGTTTGGTACAGAGGTTAAGGCCGGGGTAGGCAACCCTGGCTCTTTTATGACTCGTGGACTTCAACTCCCAGAATTCCTGAGCCAGCCATCTGAGGGGAAAGGGAGAGGTTTCCAAGCTGAGCCATGCTGGCTGAGGAATTCTGGGAGTTGAAGTCCACGGAGTCATAAAAGAGCCAAGGTGGCCTACCCCTGCCCCAGATGGTGGGCAAGGAGCTGTGGTTGAAGATCAAGGGTCTGTACAAACAGGCGGTCCAGGGGCAATGCACAGAGAGCTGAATTAGCTCAGGGACCTCACCAATGATGGGCCTACCACAGGGGTAGGCAACCTCGGCTCTTTTATGAGGCGTGGACTTCAACTCCCAGAATTCCTGAGCCAGCCATGCTGAGGGGAAAGGGAGAGGTTTCCAAGCTGAGCCATGCTGGCTCAGGAATTCTGGGAGTTGAAGTCCACGAGTCATAAAAGAGCCAAGGTGGCCTACCCTTGGGTTAAGGTATCAGAGTAGAAACCGGGAGATCATGAGTTGTAGTCCCACCTTAGACACAAAGTCAGCTGCATGATACTCCTGGACACTGGGGGGGGGGGTTTGTCACACACAGACACTCTCTCTGCCCTAGGAAGGAGATAATGGGAAGCTACTTCCAAAGTTTTGCTAAGGGACCTGTCCAGGCAGTCACCAAGAGTCAGTGACTTTAAAGCACACACAAACATATAACACACAAAATGATCATATTGATAACAATAATATTATGCACAATCTCTTGATCTGGGTCTCTTTCTAGAACAGCTCTGAGTTGGCAAATCCCTCCCCCCTCTGCTGCTGCAGGTGCATATTCTATCTCATTCTATCTGGATTTCAAGAGAATTGATGTCAATAAGCGAAAGGAAAGAGTAGGAAGGATTCTGTGGATGCATTTCTATGGAGAAATTCTGAAAAATGGTATAACCATAACTCATGACTAGGGACCAGGGGGTCTTAAGATCCTGTTGGTCCTAAGGAAGTGGACAGGGTCCTCAATGCTATCAATGCAGCCACCTGTCAATTAGACCAGGGCTTTTCAACCTTTTCACCCATTGTACCACTTTTAGGATATGGCAACATCCGAGTACCACCAGTTGCCTAGCAAGGTGTCAAAAACCTGATGACCAAAAAAAAAAAAAAGGAAAAAAAATGATGAAGTACAGGTTGTCCTCAACTTACAACAGTTCGCTTACTGACTGTTTGAAGTTACAATGGCACTGAAAAAAGTGCCCCCCAAGCCACAGCCGAGCAAGACACCTGCCTGCCCGCCCACCCAGCGGTGTTCTTTCTCCTGTCCAAGGTTTTCATTGTTGTGAGCATTTCTGTTGAGGATTGGCAGTGGGGGTGGGGTGGGGGGGTGTTTGGTTTTTATTCCCCCCCCCATCTGCTGGATGGTTGCAGCAGGTTTTGGTCACTTCACATGACCCTGGGACACTGTGACCATCATAAATATGAATCAGTTGCCAAGCATCTGAATCACAAGACCCTGGAGATGCTGCAACATTCCAGCTGATCGGCACTTCTTCTGGGCTCAGCAGAAGTGGCAGGATCAGAGGTGAGCTCCAGCTGGAGCCTGGTGCTGATTCTGGTGCTTCCACTGAGCCCTGACAGCCCCGAAGAAGCACTGATCCTGGCGCCTCCGCTGAGCCCTGACAGCCCTGCAGCTCCAATCATCTCTCGCTCAGGCTTTTGCGGTGCTGCCACCGGTTCAGCTCATTCTCCTCCCCCGCTACCACTTTTCTAGGATAATGGCGTACCACCTGCCAGGTGCCAATGTACCACAGGTGGTACCCGTACCACTGGTTGAAAAGCCCTGAATTAGACCCTTGTCCCTCCCGCTTGGTAAAAGCCTCCAGGATGGTGGTGTGCAGCTGAGAATATGCAATGATAAATTCCTCACTGCAAGAGGCGACATTCCCCAAGCCTTTTAAGGGGGGCCTAGTTTGCTGTCTTGTAAAATTTTCCAGCTGCCTTGAAAAATTTTGTCCAGTTTCCTATCCCCCCTTTTTTAGAAAAGGTGGTTGCTTGGCAACTTCAGAGAATCTTGGATGAAATAGGTTTCCTAGACCCCTTTCAGTCAGGTTTCAGGCCCAGCGATGAGACAGAGACTGCATTGGTCGCACTTATTTTTAAAATTCTGTTTTCACTTTGTCATTCTGGGGTACTGAATGCAGATTAATGAGAAAAAAAAATGAATTGTTTTCAACAACTGTAGAATCAGGCTGCAGCAGAACAAACTTGAGAAAAGTGAAGGGGGTCTGAATGCTTTCTGAATGCATTGTTAAGTAGTTGAGCTTTTTTTCAAAGGATAATCCTGAATCTCATTGATCCTATGCAAATAAAAATGACAGAAAATTACAGAAGCGAAAGCAATTTCTGCAATTCAAAAGTTACGTAATTTTGTAACATGTAATACCGATAGCCCTGATGAAGCATTTAATTTAACAAAGTTTCACACTATTAAAATATCTGGAGACATTGGCCCCAACTGCTACTCACGTCGTTTTTCTCCTTTGCAGCCAAATATATTTACCGTATTTTCCGGCGTATATGACGACTCGGCGTATAAGACAACCCCCGACTTCGGAGACGATTTGCATGCCTAGAAAGTCGTCTTATACGCCGGAATATACGGTATAACATCTTTTTTCTTCCATTTAATCATGTCCATTCAATTCTTGGAGAATGCCTGGACACCTCCCTTCAGATTTCTTGACAACTATTTTCAGAAGTGGTTTGCAACTACCTCCTTCTTAGAGCTGAGAGACAGCGACTGGTCCAAGATCACCCCAGCTTTGTGCCTAAGGTGGGACTAGAACTCAGGTTTTTCTGATTTCTAGCTTGCTATCTTAACCACTACACCAAACTATCAGATTTATAACATATGAAACAACGAAAAAAGCATCAGTTCTTTGAATTTACAGTGGTACGCAAAGTTAAATATTTTGAATACAAAAAAGTGCGAGCCTTTTTTTCAAGGAAGGTTTAGAAAACAATGCACGATGAAAGTCTGGAAAAAAAGTCTCCAGGTAAAACAGTTAACTAACTTTAATTATTGATTTGATTTAATTTGATTTAAATACTACCTAACTCAGTGATGGCGAACCCTTTAGAGACCGAGTGCCCAAAACCCGCCTCCCGCCCCCGTTCTGCCTCCCGCCCTACCTGCTCCACCCCCACCTGCCTCCTGCCCCAGCGGCCCGCAGGGCCACACACCGCGTCCTTGGCCTGCCGCAGATCGCCCAGGCAGCCCTGCAGCGCCATGGCAGCCACGCCCTCCGTCCACACCCCTCAGCATCATCTGCACACTATGGGGTGCGAGGGCAGAGTCTTGTCCCTGTTGCCTGGCTATATACTTGGCTGTGCTGCTCTGTGTGGGCCGCACCCGGGGGCTGCTGGTGAGGAGGGGGCCATGGAGAGAGGTGGGGCTGGGGGATGGCATGCGTGCCTACAGAGAGGGCTCCGAGTGCCGCCCCTGGCATGCGTGCCATAGGTTCGCCACCACTGACCTAACTCTAATAGATTCTGGGCAGTTCACAGAACAAAAAATAAATGATACTATACAATCCAGAGTAAAGCTATATCCAGAATGGGAGAGTGGAGACATTTTTTTAAAAAAAAAGATAGCACCTTACCTGCTTCTGAAATGATTTTCATGACTGCATCAACATAGGTCTCTGCTTCATCATCATAGGTAACCTCTTTCCATTGACACCAGTCTTTGAAAAACTCGTTGTAATTCTCACAGGCTGGAGCGCCGCAGAAAAATTTCACCATTTTTGATGGAGGTTGTAGAACATTTTGCAGACTCTGAAGTACAGCAGGAATGCAAAAGCTCTGGACCAATTCAGATGACAGTAGAATAATGATACACTTGCTGTTCTTGAAGAGAACCTGTTCCTCCGTGGAAATAGCAGTTCTACGCTTCACTTTATAGCTCTGAATTTTTTGGCATGAGTGCAAGAGACTCTGGAGATAATGACACCATTCATCAGCATCTTTTCCGTATACAATCAGCACTTCGCAAGCATCAGAGGGTTGTTCTGCTGAAAAGTAAAATAAGTTTGATCTTACAAACGGGACCTTAAGATAACCCCCGAGTTATCGGTTTGGAGAAGATGGATAGATTATATTCAGAATAAATATGAGACTAAAAAGTATTATCTAGCTTATGAGTAAATTTTAGATTATTATTAATAGTTTAATATGGTTGAATTTATATTAGTTTTAGTATTATGGTTTAATTATATTATTATTTTCGTTTTTAATTTGTTAATATTTATTTTGAAAAGGAGTTAAAGTATGTTATGGATTTGATTGTTTGTATAGTTGGGTAATGTTAGTCAGATTATGACTGTTTATTTGTAACCCTGTAATCAGCTCTGGGAAGTGGGGGAGGGGGGGAGGGATTTGGGATATATATTGTACAAAATCTTTAAAACTTTTAATAAAAAAAAAGATAATCCCTGAGTTATGAGCGTTCACGTAGTGCCCATTTGAAGTTACGCAATAAGGGCCTCCTAGTGTTTACGAGCAAGTCCCGAAATTACGAATGTTGCAGCATCACGGCAGTTGTTCACCCTTACAAACGACTGCAAAGACTCTGCAACATTCACCCTATTTCTCTCCCCCCCCCCGCTTCCCACACCTGCTCCCCCCTCCCACCCTTCTGCACTGTACTCACTTTCCTTGCAAATATCTGTCTCTTCTCTGCTGAGGTTTTCTGTTCTATCCCAGCCTATGTGAATCCTTATTAATTCACAAGGACAAACCTCACTTTTAACAAGTAGGCTGGAAATGCAGGGAAAACAAACCCCTTTTATTAATTAGGTACAGACCTGTAAAATGTCCCCAAAGCAAAGGCAAACAGAACACGATTCAAATGGAGAATTGTTCACAGGCAGGGCAAACAATCTGATTCCATGAAACTTGAGTCCTTTGCAAATGGTTGCCTTTAGCAACCAGCACCGCCCACACCTTCCCTTTTTATTATGCAGCCCCAAGGCGTGGCTTCTCCATGCATTCTCCTCCTCCCTTGGAGTCGCCCCATTGCCTCCCTCTGTCCTGCTCTTGTTGCCTGACTGCGTTTGCAAGTGTCTATGATGTCTTCCAGCTGTGAGTCCTCAGTCTGACTCAGCTTCCCCGCAAAGCTGGGTCTCAGCCTGAGCATGAATGGAGAGGCCAGGCTCTTTATCAGATTGTAAGTCCTGGAGCTCATCAGAGCCTTCCTCCAATTCTGATGGCTCTCCAGGCCCCTCCTCCTCCTCTGATTCCCTGGACTCAGCTGCCGGGTCCACTGGCTGGCACAGACTCACAACACTTTCTTTGCCTTTGAGGGAAAGTTGATGGAAGCTCCTGGGTGCCATAATATCACATGAATTCAAGCACCCATCCACTTTTGCCTGAATGGATGCCTGAACTCTCGTGAGATCACGGACCCCAGAAACTTTCATTCTCGGTGCGAAAAGTATTTGTGGTTCCTGTCTCCTGCTCCTCCCCTCCCAATTCCTTTCTGCCGTCGCTGGAACACTTTTCATCTGGATTGAGACCTGACGGAGACTGGAAGCTTCATCTGCGTGTAAATGGGGTACTTGGAAATGGAGCGAATTGCTCCATTTCCAAGCATCCCATTTGCACACAAACAAAGCTTCCAATCTCCATCAGGTCTCTGGTCCAAGTGAAAAGTGTTTGAATACCTATGGGACACTTGGAAAGGAGTGAATTGCTTGGTTTCCAAGTGCCCCATAACCCTCAAACACTTTTTGCCCGGACAGAGACTGAAAGCTTTATCTGTGTGCAAATGAGGCACTTGGAAACAGAGAAATTCAGGTGCAAGGTGTGGGGGGTGGGGTGGCAGAGAGAACCTCTGACAGTTTTTTTAAAAAAAACCTATGGAGCAGCGGCTTCCCTTTTTGTCCACCCTCCCCTCTGTTGCCTCTGTGCCTGGACTCTGACCTGATATTGAATAGGCAGTTCGGCTGCAGACCCACACTCCCACCCCACACCTGATCCTGCCAGCCTGATACCAAATGGGCAGTTAGCCTGCTGCGCCCTCCCATAGGTGCTCAAACACTTTTCTCCCGGACGGACACCTGACCTAGACTTAAAGACTGGAAGCTTTTTCTGCAGAAGAGGATGAGTGCCTGAACTCGTGCGATATTACAGCACCCAGGAGTTTCCATCGACTCTCCTCTCCCTCAAAGGCAAAGAAACAGTGGTGGAGAGGAGACAGGTCTTTGCAAGGTGAGTGAGTTCAGTGCGGCAGGAGAGGAGGGGGAAGCATGAGATATCTTAGTGGGGTGGGGAGACCTTGTGGGCCTGTTCCATCACTAGCCCCCCCCCCATGGCCTTCTCCATCCTGAGATACTTCATGTGCACTTAATGAACCACGCATTTGATTAGCAAATGTGTGGGAAAAAGCAGGAAATGATCTCGTTCAAGGTATGAGATTTACTCCTATGAATCCTTGAGTTACGAATGGAATGGGCAGGCTCCATTACATTTGTAACTCAATGACTATCTGTACTAATTTAATCAAATAGCGCTGCCATCCTGCTTTGCCCTATCACTGCTTTGCTGATACTAGACTACCATGAACCCTGGGAGGAGGGGCCAACAGATAGGAGGGGAAGACCAAAAAACAAAACTACTTTGAGTGCCTGCCAGAGATATTGGCCGGCCCACCCCAAGGCCACAAGCATCGCAATGGAATGTGGACTATCGCCAAGCCCACCAAGCATTAGAACTGTTGCCAAAACAATTTGTTTGAGTCCAACTGGACACCACAGAGATAATGCAGGGGAAGGACCTGAGAAAGGGGAAAACAAGCAGGCAGTTTTCACATGCAAATATCAGATCTGGCTGTTTCCTAACTTATAACCGTTTGGCTCTTTACTACAAATGCAGTCAAAGACTCTTTCTTCCTAATGACTTTGGGACAAGTCCAAAATTAAGCAGGTCGGCAGTAACAATCCACATGGAGAATCACCTCTACCGCAGAGATTGTGCAAGGTATGTCAGACCACAAAGGAGAGAAGGAGGAGATGGAGACCTGGAGGGGGGCAGCTGCTTCGAAACTGAGGGACAATGGGGAGTACCCCAGGCTAGAAGAAGCAGAGATCCCCCTAGAAGCAAGCTCCTGACGGAAAGCCTGGAGTCAGGAGATTGGAGGATTGGGATAAACCTCCCCCAGAGTAACTTTTAGCCACAGGAGCCAATCCCAAGACCGGAGCTCCACAGAGGCATGTGAGCCGATACCAGATGAACCAGACCTCCACATGACAAAGCTCGAGCACGCAATTGAATTTCTGAGGGACACTTTTGACAAGCTGAGAATTCAAGACCTCCTGGAGAGGCCAGATCCACCACCAGTACAGCAGCCCAGCCAGCCATTGCCTGACAGGCTCCACCAATGACCAGAGTCACTCTCCCGAGAAGAGAGGACCACCATCCATTGGCGCTAGAGTGAAATTCAATGGAGATGCGAAACAGTTGGCCTTCTTCCTAACCCAAGTGTGGTGTTACATGGAAGAGTATGGGGCAGACTTGGCCAAAGTGCAGTGAGTCACTATGGCCTTCAAGTGGGAAGTCGCACAGTGGCTGGTGGCCCTCCATATGATGACATTGTGAAGCTGCGCCAGTTCAACAGATTTATGGCTGCCTTGAGGAAGTGGTTCGAAAACCCACTCAGTGACTGGAACATATGAACCAGGTCAAAACCCTCAAGCAAGGAAGACGACATTCGCAGCCTACATTCAAGAATTCTGAACCTTGGCCAGCAAACTGGCAGACTAGCCCCAGGACATGCTGATCAAGTGCTTCCAAAAGGGATTGGCCAACAAGTTATTCTACACCTGTCTGTCCAGGGGGATGCCAAGAACCCTCCAAGGCTGGTATGTCCTGGCAGATGAGGTGGAAATCAACCTGGCCAGGTACCACACCTGTACCAACCAAGAACAGCGATGATCACTCAGGCCAGAAAAATGAGAACCCACAAAATCAGGAAAACAAAACCCCAGTCCTTGCCACAGCAGGGCCAGATGCTTTCAGTATGGTAAAGAAGGTCATCAGGGAGCTCATTGCTGAGCTCCAGCACCCACGAGAACCAAAAAGGGATGGAAAGGGGCCCACCAAGCCTAGAGAAACAGCACTCAGAAGAGTGGAGGGCGTAAAGTTCCCCTCTCCAACCAGCGATGGCAAGGGAACTCCGACCATAGATTGCAAGGCTGGAGCAGAGAGCATCAGCAGAGGAGGTGACAACCCGCTGGTAAGCTGTACCATAATACCAGCAGAATGGGATGTTCAGGCATAGACCCTTGGCTGCGCCTCCTTCGCCCCCTGCCACGCGACTAAGCCCACTTACAGCCAGCTTTCCTCCTCCATTGGCCCTCCCCTGGCCATTCTCCACAGCCAATGGGTCCCTGGACCTCCATCCCTCGCACTTCAGCCCGGCCCATTTGCCCAGACATCCTTTCTCCTGGACCTTTGGCTGCATGGGACAAATAGCCACCAGCCAATCAGGTGGCAGGCAGAACGGCAGTGGTGCATGGCTTCTGGCATTGTGGGGGCAAATGGGGGGCACAGCAGGCAAATGACAGGGATGCGTGGCTTCTGGCATTGCATGAGGTGTGGCAAGCAAACAGCAGTGGGTCGCAGCTTCTGGTGTTTGCAGGGGGCACGGCAGGAGAACTGCCCTTTCAGTGTCAGTGTCAGAACCCAGTTATCGGGAGGGGGTGATTTCCTTATTTTATCTTCCTGCGGGCTCTGCCATACTCCGGGGGGAGGGGGCCCTACAATGTATCCTGTCCTCTTGGCTATAGCTGCTACAATGTATCCTCTCTGCTTTCCTCTATCTGCCCGTTCTTTGATCTATTTCCCTTACTGCCAGCCTGGGGTGGGAATGGAATGAGCCTCCGGCTATCTGCCTTATCTCTAGCTGCGGAGAAACAGGCAGGAAGGCCTAACAGCCTAACAGCCTTGGGAATGGTATCTTATCAACCCCGTTCCCACAGCAGGTTCACACAGGGAGATTGGCTCATTTGAACTG